CCTCTATCTTTCTCTAGCCAGTTAGTCTTGTGTAAACCGAACAGTAGGAAACCACACAACTAGATCTTGGGACATATTAGAGGGGTGGGCCAAGTAGAGAACATAGGCCAAATGATGTGTGTGCGTTCCTGAATTGCTGGGTGGGACCCCTGGGGTAGATAAAAGAGTCAGGCACCCAGACATGGTTGCTGCCTAGTAACCTTTGTTTCCCAAACCCTTTAATACCACCTCATTCTGCCTGCCTGGAAGAACACTGCTGCCCAACAAGGAAGGAGCCAGCCATGTCCCAGAGGTGGTACAGGTGAGTGTGGACTCCACTGATGCCTCTGGGGAGTTAATTGTCTTCCTCTGCCACCAAGCACCCCACCTCCCATTCCCACCCCCCGGCCGCCCCCGCGGCACTTACCGAGCTCGCAAGCCCAAGAAGAGGCACAGCAGAAGCAGCAGCTTCCAAGCCATGGTTCCTCGGAGCTCTGGACAGTGCTGCGGCCTCGGCCACCCGAGCACCGGCCTAATCTTGCTCTCTGGGGCTCACGGGCCGCTGGCAGACGCCGGAGGCTCAGACCTGCCCCCCGGCCGGCGGGGAGCACTGGGCGTGGCTGCGCTGCCTGGTGGTAGGTGTGGGTCCACTGCCTCCGCGTCGGGGATCCCGGGAATTCCGCCCAGCCACCGCGGAGACCTCGCGCCCGCCGCCCCCGAGCGGCGCTCCTCCCGGTGAAGAGCGAGCCGCAGGACCAGGGCTCGCGCCCCGGAGCCTGCCGCGCAGATCCTGCAACTGCGCCCGCCGGGGAGTCCCGGGGGAGAACGATCCCCCCAATTACACGCCTGACAACCCTCCGGGCAGATAAAAACAAGGTCTGACTGGACTCCTGACAGCGAACGGCCAGAAGTGGGCGGGGTCCAGCACCGAGGGCGGGGCCAGGATTGGGGATGGGGATCGGGAGGGACAGGGGCAGAAGGAGTGGGAGAGGGAGGAGGGAGAGAGGCAGCTGACCCCTTTTCCTGCACGCCTCGCCCACCGGGGACAGTGATTCCCTAGCGCACAACAGATGACAGCCGCTGACTTCTTCCCATGGACCACCGAGACGTGGGGGTTAGGCAAGCAACCTTTCTGAGGACCATTTGGGAGAAAAACACCAAAATGTACGGCTTTCTCACCTAGAAGAGAGACAGACACATGGTCAACAAAGCCATTGATCCAAACAAAGCCATTGGCATCAATCAATTCGGACTCATACTGGCCCTGTAGGGCAGAGAGGGGCAAAAGGAATGTTAGAAGAGAGAAAGAGGCAAGTCAAAAAGAAAAATGAAGTTCCGGTTAATTAAACCAAGGCATTTGTTTCATCAATCTAGTTGTATACCTGAAGAATAACAATTGTATTCATGCTTCCATTTGTAATCATTAATAAAATGCTGATCTCTCATCACGTCATTATAATGATATCAGTAAAGCATGTAGAAAATAAAGAATTTAGCTTTACTTTTCATAAAGCAGTTCTTAGGGAAATACTTTGTTTTATACTACGAACCTTCTGGGCTTCTCTATGTAGGGAGACTATAACTGTTTAAGGGAGTAGAAACCACACAGAGCTGATGGTGGTTTTGAACTGCCAACCCTGCAGATTGTGGGCCAGCACATAAAGACTATACCACCAGGATCCTATGCTATTGGGACTATGTGAAAGGATGTTGTCGCTGTTTCTTAACTATTGTGAAATAGTTTTGTTCATAGAACATATAGGACACGAAGCTGGGAGTTGTCTTGGGACTTGCTTCTGTATTCACCAGGATGAATGTGGGTATGAATGGGAGTGGACATGAGTTATTGGCTACAACTTGAAACTGTACTTAAAAAAATAGAATGGTCATTTTCTGGCCATTCCATCTTCCTGTCTCCATGAGATCCTGGACTAACTCCAGCTCATTTTGTCACAGGGCTCATTCTGATGTTCTTCTCTGTCTGCCAGACCTCACCAACTTCACTTGCTGTTGTTAGGAAGTGCTGTCAAGTCAGTTCCGACCCGTGGCAATCTCATGGACACCAGTATGACCACTTCAAGTAGTGTGGACAAATCTTCAGGAGACCTTACTGTTTAATCATGTTAATTTACTTTACAATTAAGAATCATAATATGGTTTCCCATTACTTTAATAGAGCAGAAGACCTATTGAATTAGAAAAATCAGGAGCTAAAAAAACTGGAAATACCTATCAATGTGAGATACCATAAATCATAAGTGACTATAGTAATTTACTTAGTGTATCATATAATCCAAAACCTCAAGAATATTTGTAGAAATTTAAAAGTATCTAGCATTTAACAAGATAAAATTCACAGTATTTAGCATGAAATAGAAAATTTACCACGGATGTAATGAAGTAGAAAACGTCACCTATATGAAGAAAAAGTAAACAAAAATAAATCCAGAAATGACAGAGATTATAGTACTAGCAGATAGAGATACTTTAAAAAGCTATTGTCATTGTACATCACATGTTCAACCTTCCTAGTGCCGCGACCCGTTAATACAGTTCCTCATGTTGTGGTGAGCCCGTATGTGGGCGTATCTGCATAGAGGAGCGGTGTCTCAGTGCCTAAGACCATCGGATATATGGTCTTAGGTGACCTCTATGAAAGGGTCGTTCAACCGCCAAAGGGGTTGAGGCTCACAAGTTGAGAACTGCTGATAAAGGAGAGCATGGGCGTGTTAGAAACATCAGAGATATTTTATTATATCTAAATTTAGAGGTGGGAAAATGATAAGCTTTGAAATGAAGAAGGCACTAGATATGGTTAACAGCAGATTCGATTCTCCTGAAGAAAGATTCATACACTTGAAGATACCATATAAACTACTCACAATTAAACGCTGAGATAAAAAAGAGAGAAATTTACATAGTATAATACATGAGGATTTAGGGCTTCCATATAAGGGCCAATTTTAATTTCAAGGAACCACAGCATAATTAAAAGAATTACAGTCAGTTTTTCCCTTTGTCAAGGAGAAACTTTTGTAGATTCAGACACACTGTCAAAATTTATGGGACTTATGAAACTTTCTTGTATTTCATTATTGCTTGCATAGAGCTTCAAAGTCAACAAGGCATGATTAAGCAGTTAAGGCTCTCTCTGAACTGTTCTGTTCACAAAGCCCTGCCCACGCACGCATCCTTCCACATCCCTAGGATTATGTCATAGTTCTTCATAGTTCCTTGCTGTTGATTTTGTTAGGTGCCATCGAACTGCTTCCAACCCATAGTGACCCTATGCCCAACAAACACGAAACACTGCCCAGTCTTGTGCTACTCTCACAGTTGTTCCTCTGCTTGAGCCCACAGACACAGCCACTGTGTCATTCCAGATCCGTCAGGGTGTCCTCTCTCTCTCCCCCTCGAGCCTACCAAACAGGATGTCCTTCTTTCGGGACGGATCTCTCCTGAGAACATGTCCAAATTATGTAAGATGGAATCTTGCCATCCTTACCTCCTAGGAACACTCTGGCCATACTTCTTCCAAGACAGGTTTATAAATAGCTCATTCTCCAGGTCTCCTTTTAATATGTTTAGTGGGTATCTTTATTATCTCAACCAGCATCAGAGCCTAAACAGTTGGGATGTTGGCCCTGAGTGTACTCGCTTTGCATCAGTGCACTTCTCAGCTGAGCTCAAAGTCAAGCCGAATAATGACAACACTCTGAGGTTAGAGGTAACAGAGTTCCATATGTATAGGTTGAATAAGTTTAGTGAAAGGAAACTACACTGATACACACCTTTTCTGGTTTTAAACCATGCCGTTAAAAAAGAACTATGTTTTGTTTTTTTTAACAATTGCCTCTTCATATATGTACAGGTTTGGAGCTAGTACAATTGTTTTCTGTAATACCCATTCATCTCAGTGCTAGCCATAATTTGTTATGATCCTCACAGTGTAAAGCCTTTGCATAGTCAATAAAAAGAGGTAAATATGTTACTGGTATTCTTTGCATTCAACCAAAATCCCTTTGACATCAGCAATGATATTCCTCATTTCACATCCTCTTCCGAATCCAGCTTGAATTTATGCAGTTTCCTGTCAATGTACTGTTCTGTTTGTTTTTAAATTATCTTCAGTATAGCATTAATTGGATGTAATATTAATGATACTGTTTGATAATTTCCACATTCTGTTGGATCACTTTTCTTTGGAATGGGGTCAAATACAGAGCTCTTTCAGCCAGTTGGCCAGGTTGTTTTGTAGTGAGATCATTTATTTTGGTCAAGTTATGTTCAGTATACCCATATTCAGTGCTATTTCGCCCATCTCCCAAAACCAAAAAACAATTATCTACAAATGAAGTATCGGTGATTCACCCTTCCCTATTCTTCCATTTAACCCTCAGTGAATGTTGGTTTCTGTTTATTTTGAGAGGGTACAAAAAGTGCATGTAAAAAACTATCTTTAGTTAAATCTTTGCACTAATTTTTAAGATCCCTCATATATGGTTTTTCTTCTTACAAAAATTGGATGACACAATATTGGTGAGACATATTTCACTTAGCATTATGCTTTCCAGGCCCATCTATGCTATAAGATGCTTTCCAGACTCATCATTGTTCTTTATGGTTCCATACTTGTCCACTTAATGTATTGTACACTCAAGTTCATTGCAGCATTATACAAAATTTTGCCTATCCATTCATCCATTAAGGGGAATATACGTTATTTCTAGTTTATGCTATTGTGAATATCAATACTGTGAATATGAATCTCATATCTGTATGTGCCTCTTTAATTATATCTCCAGTGCATATACCTGGGACTAGGACTTCTGAACTATGGTGTTGGTAAGAATACTGAATGTACCAGGGATCCAGGAAAACAAACAATTCTATCTTGGAAGAATTATAGCTATACTTCTCCCTTTCTTCTTCTTCTTCTTTTTTTTTTTTGGACGAGGAGATGATGGGCTAGCCTGATAGTCTACTCTATCAAGATGGTATTTTAGGAAGCACATACTTTAACATTAGGAGGAACAGACTTAAAGGTCATACTTTTGGTGAAAAAAAAATTCCTTAAGGTGTTCTTAATAGATAATCGCTCAACCAGGGCTTGATGTAAGATTTTCTATTTTAGGTTCTATTTATGTCCTAAATTAACTTGCATCTGGAAAAAAATTGCATGGGACAGTGATCCCCAATTAAAATAAGAACTGGATCCTAGCCTGCATTTATTCCTAATTAGCGAGTTGACTCTGAGCCAATGTAATACCCTTTCTGGGTTTCAATATCTCCGTTTGTAAAACAGAAATTTCTCATTCACTATCAGGTTTCTCTGATGTGTTCCATTAGAAGGCTATTTTAAGGTATTTACATGACAGAAGATTTACAGTTTACCTTTCAATCTTGAAGGGAGTGTATTTTCTACATTTACTTAACTTTTATAGTTAACCTAGAAGCATTTGATTCTAATTATTGTACACAACCACACATCTCTAGTCCAACTTTAGCTAAGGTTCCCCCTAAATAAAAACATTGGTTCCTAAAAAGTATAGGAGTAATGCGGATCACTCACTTTTTTAGAATAGTCTGAGTTTCTATTAAGTCATTGGACTTTGGTTCAAATCTCTTGCTTTAAGGGTGCCTAAGTAATGACAATTTAATATTACCATATATTTGTTATTTTCATACCTCTTTGGTATTTTAATAGCATGTCTCAGTCCAGCAGGTATAGTTCTGCTATAGTGAATGAGGATTGATTCTGTACAAGTGAATACTTCTGGTATGGATGTGATATAGCATTAGCCTACTTTGGCACAATATACTTCTCTCGACGGGGATTAAAAAAATTAGTGCCAGGGGCTAATCAAAGACAATATTAATGTAACAGCTTTATGCCCCAGGGCAATGACCAATAAGACTATCCTAAATTAACAAGGAGGTTTTGAAAGGGAGCCAAAGGAATATAAATAAACCAAAACAAAACAAAAAACACAGATTCAGGAATAGGTTAGGGGCTCACCCTACACCCTAGCTCCAATGTAAGAATAATTAATTCTTACATCATGGCCCTGCTCGATACTTATCCTCAATGGGAACACAGAAGATATGGGTGCTATAGCAAAGTGTGATTAAGGAATTAGATGGTGCCAGGCTATCCGATAAAATAGCATTTGGAGTCTTAAAGGTCTCTTTCCAAAGAAGCAGCCATTTAAGAGAGAGGTGACCTAATCCCACATGGAAGAAGCACACCAACATCAGTCACCGAAGGACTGGAAATCATATAATCCAAAACTCAAAGGAGGGAATAGTAGCAGAGACTGAATTGGGAGAATCAGATTTGCTGAAGGCTATGGATGACACTGGGAGCTCAAGATCCAGTTGTGGGATCTACATAGAATATATCCATACATAGAATATATCTCTACATAGAATATATCTCCCTCTATCTGTAACAGAGGGATGGGAAGAAGCTTGCTACCAAACGGAGTGCCTTGGAGAGATGACTATCTAAGATCAAAATGATAAACCTGACTTGAATCGCTAAAGCCTTGTCAATTGATCCCCCTGATACACATTAGACTGGATCTGATTTTCAACATTTTCTGTTTTATTTTGGTTTTTTAAATTAGTTTGTTTGTTCATATTGGGCTTTATCTCAGATCAAGTAGGTCACTGGGAGTCATCCTCTTGAATTTTTGTTATATCTTTTTGTTTTTCAGTATATGAAAATGAGGATTGATGAGCCTAAAGGAAAAGCAAATAGAATACGGGTTTCTCGGGGTACAGTGGTGGTGGCTTTGGGGGTGTGTGTAAAAGGGCCCTGATATTAAGGAGTTCCGGAAGGAAAGAAGTTTTGAAACTGACTGGTAGCAATTGTACAATACTGCTTGAAGTGATTGAATATGGAATGATATATGTATTAACTCCCAATACGTAAAGTGGTTTTAGGGGGAAATAAATTTTGTCCTATTTACAACACTCAATGTTTGAGTGAATAGCATCGAGTCTTTTAAGTTTTTAATCTTCACAAATCAATTATCTAAAATATTTTAGTCTAAAAGTTGTTTTATACATGTATATTTTCCTTTTCTCAACAATTAAAAAATTCAATATAATTTGCTAAATTAATGTAGAAATACCATATGCCCATGGAAATGATTTAAAATGTTCCCCAATAAAATTATAATGATGTCTTTATAGTAGACCAGTGACAAATATAAACCATATATACATGAATGGATTCTGATTTCACCCTTAATTGTAATCCTAATCTAAGAACAATTAGTTCTGGTAACATAGCCCTACATGACACTTGCATTCATGAAGAGATCACTGAAAATATGGATGCTACAACAAAGAATGATGAAGAAATCATATGGTGACTAGCTATCAGAAAGAATAGCATTTAGGGTCTTAAAAGTTTGTCTTGAAACAAACAACGATCTAAGTGAAGTGTCGGCTAAACCTACATGGAGGAAGCATACCAGCCTGAGTGATCCAAAGATTGTCAATAATAAGATCCAAGAACAGAGAGGTAACAGAGAGCTTAAATTCTGAGCACTAGGTTTGCAGAACATTGTAGACAAGATCCATTCATCCATTTGAAGGGTCCCACATGGATTAATCCCGCGGACAACCCTCTATTGACTAGGGATGTGAATAATCTTGCTATATCACACAGTGTGCCTTGGAAAGTGGGTAAATAAAAATGTAATTAGGTTAAAATTTAACACCTTAGCATTTGTTCTCCATGTTGACCCATTAACATTTTTTCTAGTTTTTATTATTTTCTGCTTTATGATTAAGGTGTTTCAGTGTTTTATTTTGTTATTGTTGTTGGGTCATTGTCTTCTATGTTTTCTTTATATGAAACCCAGTATAGTTATATCAATAGGAACAATAACTGGATTTTTAGTTTTTATGGTTATGGCAAAGGGAGGTTGGGGGGAAATGGGGAGTTAATAATAATGAGTACAAGAATGAAGGAAGTGTTCTAAAATTGATTGTGGTGATAATTGAGTTATAAAGTATGTGAATTATATGCCAACAGAACTGCTAAAATAAAAAAGATGTATTTAAATGGACTCTGAGAGGCGATCTTTAATTATTTTAAACATTTTAATTTTTTTCCTTGCTGTCATTTTTTCCAAGGTGATTCCTTATTACATCTTTATTAAAAATAGCAAGCACTGAAAGATGTACAAATCAGAAAGCATAAAACGAATATGATCTTCTACTAAATATTCATTACACCCAAGTTTCAGCAGCATTTAAATGCAGTAGGCATATTTTTAAACTGTAATTCATCAAATTGAGCCCAAAGAGTTTTTTTAACAAGGGCTGAAACTCATCAAGGGCATTATTGCAATCTGTCATAGAAGATATTTTCTGCTAGTACTGAGCTTTCAAGGAGGGTGATTTTACATGTAGCCATTTAAATATAATTTACACTTTGTACAACCTACAATGCAAGGTTAAACTATAAAACCTATATGAGAAATGCCATTAAAACAAAAATGTAAACAGAAATTTAGGTTTATTTTTTGTCATGGTAGGTTTTATGCTGTGGTGAGGTGGAAAATATAAGAATTATTCTAAACTGACATCACTATGTGTAGCAGAGAATTGTTTCTGGTCTTTTGTTTAAGAGCATCCCTTTCATTGATCTTGCTATTGTACTTTGTAAAATCCTGAAACCCATTACTGAAACAGACAATAGTGTCTCCTTATAAGTGAAACAATTTGGCAATTCTATAAATCTTTCTTTTAGTAAAATATAATAAATATGCCACAACCCCTTGCACATATTCTCCAGGGATGCTATTTGGAGTTTCAAGAGAATGGATACTATGAGCATTTATGTCCCATGCACATGATCCAGGTACACGTCTACCAAATACAGGTAATGTAGGTAGGCTTTAAAGACGTAAATCCCATTAACAAGTCCAATTATACAGGCTTCTATTTGATATAGTCTATTTATAGTCATAGTTATCTTTTATGGTTTCAGAAATCCAGGAGAGTCGCAGAGAAAGGAGAAAGCATCTTTTGAGTATACGGAGCAAACATAACATTTTCTATCAGTGAGCACAAACAGTAACAGAGGACAGGGCACTGAATGAGTGGTCATCCTGACCACAAGACACGCCTCCTTGGAAATGCCCTCAAGTAAGATGATAAGCATTCTTTTCAAGGATTAGTCTATGAAATTAGATTAGAAACAGACAGGCTGCCGAGTAGGATTTTTCCCCCTGAGCAATTTTACAATGTGTCTTTCTTTCATTTAAAAAATGTATTATCATTTTAATCACACTGACATAGCTGTAAGTTGCTTACATGTGGCATTTCTTAGATCATATGAATACTAGCAATGAAAGTGGTTTGTAATACCTCTCTACATTGGATTGAAGTATTATTAGCCCAACCCATTGGCGTCCAGTCTATTCTGACTTGTAGCAACACTATAGAAGAGGGTTCAACTGCTCCTTACAGTTTCCAAGGCTTTGTATCTTTATTTTTCTTCTTCTCTAGGTCATGTTCACCAGTACAATGTCCACCAATACAATTTTTTAAATGAAATATGCCAACAAGGTTAGGTACATTTTTATGATTTAATGAACATTTAAGTTTCATATACAAAAGCTGACGAAGTAATAGGTCAATCATGGAACATATACAAGGAAATAAAATGGAAAATAACTCTTCATGATGTCTCACCACCCAAATACTGCTTGGTCTCAGAGAGGGCACCATAACATTCCAGATAGGCTCAATCACTCCCCAGACTGTTGGGTTTAGTTAATGAGTGGTAGGGAGTGGGCAGAAAAAAAGGAAAAAGACTTAAGGATTTCATCTTTCCCATGAGGATAAAAATGGTTATCTAATATACCAGTTTTATCTGTCATTAAATGTGTCTGCAAACATACTTGACTAACTTTTTTTCTTAATGTAATATCATGCAGTACATTTTCTAATTTAAGAACAGTAAGAATTATTAAAGGCAATTAATTTTGTACATAAGTGTCATCAGAGCTTTTAATGGAAAATGAATTCTTTGTAATATTTGTCTTGCAATCTTTTGCCAGGTAATAATCATGGAGAATTTCCTAAAATATTTTCTTCTGGGAAAATTTCTATGAAATGTCATTTAAAGTATAAAACAAACTGTTAGACAACACTCGGAACAGTTAAAAATGTACTTGTCTAATTTGTAAGCTATCAGAATAGGTTATTGATCATCTTAATGCCAGAATCACTGTCTTTTTTCTAGAAAGCTTGCTTTATTTATCAAGATGACATCTTTGAAGTCTCTGAGGTTATATATAGAAATAATCAAGGTAATACGATTTGTACATATCACTAAACATGCCAAATTTCCTGAAAGACATTGCCCTAATACAGAAGTCCTTTTGGTCACAACTTGTCCTTGGCACCGTCCTTCTGGAATCATGGCTCTCGTGGAGACTGGGAATCCAGAGATCTATTTTGGAGAGGCAGCTCCTTTAATCACCGGCTCCCTATTCAAATAGGTTGCCCAGTAAACTAAGTTGAAAGTGCCAAAGAGCAGTGGGAATACAAGTCGAGACATTTTGTCAATCTTGCTGATGCTGTTGTAAGTCTTTCTGCTTTCAGAGGTCTTTCCTCCCGGAGGCTTTCCTGAGACGGAAGGTGCATTTGAGGCCCCTGCTAGGGTCTCTTCTTTTGGAACGTTTGGGGGATAGGCCATCTTCCCAGTTGTATAATCATTTGTTGATTTATTTAGTATTAATTCACGCTCCTTTTTCTGCAAAATATAACAAGAATGTAAAGAAGTGCCATTTTGCAGACAAATGTCAGCTGGCATTAGTATTCTCAAGAGAGATAAGGGAAAAATCAGTTTAGCTCTGGAAGGGGCAGTCATCCAACAAACTTACTGGCCTATAACCTCACATTATTACACACTCATAAATTGGCATAAGCCACAGCCATTATCACGTCAATGTTTGGCATTTTTCAAGAACCTAGAATAAGCTGGATTAAGAATTTCTTATACCACACAGCAACCATCATTTCTTTACATCAGTACATTTACACTACTGGGGCTGGATATTTTGTGTAGATATAAGGGACATTCCTGAGAATGGCAGGCCAGGAATGGAGAAAACACGAAGGAAGAAGAAAAAATTTTTAAATGCCCGTATACATGGATTCTGGGGAAATGGCAGCAAAAATGAAACAAAGCAAAAAACATTTCAACCCACCTCCAGAAATACAAGCAACACATTAAGGAAATGCCTGAATTTGACAGACTCCAGATCAAGCAGTAGAAGAAAGCACTGAGATGCATAAAAATCAACAAGGCACATATAGTAAAAAAATCACTTCTCCAACTGTCCATGCCCCTCCTCTCAGTCTCACAGGTCATTGGCTGCTCTGAAGTGCAGTAAAACCTCATAAAAAGCCCGACTCCATAGATGGCTCCGATACAGGGACATCATCTGCAGTTATTTGTGAGTGGTCACCAGGTCTGCAGGTGAGGGGGTTATTTGGGGGATTTGGATGAGCCCTGGTCTCACAGTGCCCCAGGGACCCTTTGTCAGATTCGACACAAATGATGCAGCTGTACTCACCATGGCATACATCCCCCTGGGTTCCCTGTACCTGAGACCTGGCCCTGCAATACCTAATGTTTCCAAGCGCCGGCAACACACGGCCAGGTTCCTTGGCCTTAACCATCCCCAGAGACCCCAGTGCACCATGTTTCTCTTCAATACCCCTTCCCCACCACCTGTGTTTCCCACCCTGACAACTGGTCCACCTTGATCCCTTGAGTTTCTCCCTTTCCCGGCCCCCAGCAACCCACCTGCCCCCATGTGCACAACCCACCCACATCCCCGCATGCCACCCACTCATGCCCCTATACCATACACATCACCTGTGCCTGCCCCATGCTAGGAGAATGCCCAGGATAGTCTGGCATTCTAGGATATCACAAGGATATCCGCGTGGACTTCTGGAGATCCTGGACACTAGAGACCACTGAGCCCAGCAAATCTGAATGCCAACTGGGGTAATCCCATTGCTGAGTCCCTGCATACTCCCCTAATAGCAAGGATGCAACTAAGCCCTCCAGATAGATAACCCCAGATTTCTAGAGAGAGAGCCAGCCCCAATGGGACAGAGAGGCAGCTCAAAACCTAAGTGTAGCTGGCCCCAGGTAGTTGTTATATGTATTCTTTTTTTTATTTTTTTATAACATTTTATTAGGGGCTCATACAACTGTTATCCTAATCCATACACACATCAATTGTGTAAAGCGCATTTGTACATCGTTTCTCAAAACATTTTCTCTCCATTTAAACCCCCGACATTAGGTCCTCATTTTCC